CGCATGCAATGGTCGGCGACAAAGTTTTGTAGTAGCCTGAGTGTGTATAGCCGCCCCCTCCCCTCAGAAAATATAGCCCCTTTGCAGCCCAGTTAAAAATCGGCTTTCGGCGATTCTGGTTAGTCTCGCTTGCTTTAGAAAAGCGAGACTCTTAAAATGCGAAGGTTTTTTTTTTTTTTTTTCGGTGGGACCTAGTTTGTAGGCCCCGCGTTCCTAGCGAAGACCGTGGAAACTGGGGATAAGAATCGTGACGACTTTCATTGTATGGAAATGAGTCTCCTGATGAGAATGCAGTCTATTTCGGCGATGACTGAAATGACGCATGTAAGTTTGGCAATGACGTAATTTTCCTCGAATGGAGGCCCTTGATTTTCGTGTAATTATGCACGACATGCAGGCACATCCCCAAGCAGGATGAGAAAATATTATAGCGGGGAAATCCTCAGGATTTTGTGGCTTTTTAAGGCGTTACGTTTCTCAGAATATTGTCGCAATTACAGGAAATGTACGGTTAAATAGATTCACTTTGTTTTATGTATTTAATTGATAGATTTTCGCAGTTGTTACGATGTGAAGTCGTGTTGCACTTCATAAATACTTGAGATATGAAGTATCCACTGTCACGTAATTTTTACGTGCGCACGTGCGTAAAATTTGCGTTCGCAAATAAAATAAAGGCAATGTATGAAAGGCTGCACGTACAATATGTATGTCTTACCTCTATTTGATTTTCGTGATTAAAATTTACGTGCGTTAACGTGCGGAGCCAAAAACGCATCAGTGGAAATCTACCCTAACGTGTCACGGGTAGCTTTGAACTTGACTAACCGCACACTCTACTTGCAGCACTTCGTGTCCATAGTTAATAGAAATCCCATATCGATCTTTTCCGGAACGGGTTGGTCCAAGAATTCTATGGCTTGAAAGCGTTGATTATTTTGGAACAACTGATCACTTCAGTGGTCGAAAAAAAAAGAATAATCTTAATGGGCAAAACTTCAAGGTTTACTGGAAAATCAGGATCGAGGATCGAGGATCAAGAAATCAGGGATCAAGGATCGGTTAAAAAGAACTTGAAAATAAAATGAGTGAGATCAGTGATGATGTGGGCCGCAGACTGTAGATAAATTTCACAGAACATAACCCCGTTCGCTGTACTGAACGCTAAATTCAAGTAAACTAATCCGAGTCTGTCTGAGTCAGTGATTGTTTTGACGAGAAAGTGAAATTTTCCGGGAAAATGAAACGCTTTATCCTGGTGATACTGTAATACAAGAAAAAACTTTTAACAGTTTTTAATTTGTAACTCGTGGGGACGCGCGAGCGTACCACGAGTTATCGCAGGGACAGAGATATGCAAATGAGTCACTCGCTCACTCGTAGTAGACCGACTTCGTAATTAATCGGGTCCGAACTCTAGAGTGCGAAAATCTATCACTTCCGAAGAAGCACGCGCTCTTGAAGTTCGGTGGGATCAAATTCCTCGTTGAGAGCGTGCATCGTTCGGCGTTCGCTGCTCAGACTCAGAGTTTTCGGATGTTTACCGGTTTGGATGTTTACCGGTTTCTGGGTAATCGGGTCCGATTTTTTTCAGTCGGACCCGAATATTAACTCGGACCCGATTTCATTTAATCGAACACGATAACAAATCGGGTCCGAATTGAAGTCGGGTCCGATATATTTGGGATCGGATCCCAAAACTAATCGGGCTCGAATTGTTGTTAAATCGGGCCCGACAAAGTAATCGGACTCGATTTAAATTAATCGGGTCCGACTTGTTTTAAATCGGGCCCGATTTCTTATCCAGTCAGAGAGAAACTTAATCGAGTCCGATTTCTCGGTACATCGGACTCGATCGTTGGATAGTCAAATGTGTGGGGGGGTGGGGGGAGAGGGTAGGTAGAGAACATCTTCAAAGTACGTAAAAGGTATATTTTTCAAAGGAAAAAGAAACGGAAATGTTATTATCTCGTCGCCTCTCGTCCCCAGGGATCGCTCGACTCTCCCCACGGGTTACCCTCCCCAAGCTCCACCGCCATATTGGAAAAGACGTGTACATCTAATTATGAGTTTCAACAACTCTCTTTTTCCCACCCTTTATTGACTTTATTTACCTCGTCCCGCGTTTGAGAGGTTGCTTTAAAAGAAATAATATGCTAAAAGAGGTAGGTAAAAAAATAGATTTATTATAGCCTTTATTTACTTATAAGCTTACAATGTAAGTTTACTCAACAATAATTGAACTAATAATCTAAGTTAAGCTTAACTATTGAACTGCAACCACAAGATATGACTATATACACAATTATAATAAAAGATTTGCTAGTAAACTGATTTATTTAGATGAATAGCAGTATCCACCAATTTTGTTATGTCTTTTAAATTTCCTGGTCCAAATATCAGGCAATTACTGTTCCACTTGGTCTCAAGTGTCAACCGACATCATAATATAGAAGTTTAAGTTTAAGAAAGAAGTAAAAATGCTATCCTAACTACGTAGTTTGGTCTTGCTCTTTTGGACATTGTTCACGTATGTACACCATTAATGCAGTCTCCAGTGTGCCCTCCCCCCCTGAAAAAAATGCCTGTCAATTTCCAGAGCAGGGTCGAATTTCACGAATCAAGGCCTCTACTGTCGTCCAAAAAGAAGACAAGAACAGGTTCAGCTTACTCCGTCAATGACATTGAAATGAATGTCACAGGCATTTCAATTTTGTAAATTTCAAACAAATGGCCCTGTTAATGGGGTGAAAAGTTTACCGCTTATGATTTTAAAATGTGGCGGTGAGCCACATTCATGGGTGACTGCATTAACTAAGGGTTTTTGTAACAAAATGTATGGCCGTTTTGCCGAAAAAAGTGATCGAAATAACAAGGTGACAGTTTGATCAAGGTGGCTGTAAGGCGGGGTTCCACTGAATCCCTTTTTAGCTTAATGATTACTCGATTGTCTATTTTTCTTTTCCTACTACTTATATACAGTACAGTGTACAAGAAAGAATTGAATTGAATGAAAATACAAAACCCTTTCAACTTTCATCCCTCTGGTTCTACTGCCAAATATTTAATTACACGATTGCATACTTGTCTTTCAACCAAGGTTTACTTAGTTTTTAACTTAAAGCTGTATGACAAATGTTATGTCTTCTGGGCTAAAAAGTAAAGTTGACATTAGTTGGCAAGATCCATAGAGCCACATGTTTGCTAAATATCATACTTTTATGCAAGCTTTTACCCAATTAATTTCATGTATTCGTGTGTAATAGAAGAGACCTTAAGTTGCACACCTTAAGCTTGTCTTCAGTTTCTCTCTTTCTCTTCGCTGTACTGAACGCTAAATTCAAGAAAACTAATCCGAGTCTGTCTGAGTCGTGAGTGATTGTTTCGCCGAGAAAGTGAAATTTTCCGGGAAA